TTAGGAATAGAAATTAATTTTAGAATAAGCTAGGCTAAGACATATGTACTAAACAAGGGCAGAAAGACCGATTGGGTCGATAGCCTTTTTCCGTACCGTTACATATTCGAGCTTATTGCTTGAATCTATACTGCCAAAAGACTCCAAATCATATAAAAAATAATTATTTTTGGCATATATTTTTAATTTTAATATTTTATTGACATGTTTCCGAAACCTTTTTTTCCTCAACATTTTGAGTTTCCTTCTTTCGAAAAGAAAATTTCGATAAATAGTGCTCTTATTTCTCAATAAAGAACGAATCCTTTATCAAAAGATAATCAAGAAACTATTAACTAGCGGGTGTCCGCTACAGTTTCTTGATTACATTTTGATAAATAATTGTCCTTTATTTTATAGAAAAATAAGAGAACCATTTATCACTTTGAAGCACAAAACGTGAGGAAGTTCTGTCTGCAAAAAACACAAAATTTGAGATGTAAGACCCAACAAAAAGGTTTTTAAAATTTAAGAATTACCGTGTTCTAATGTAATATTATTGTATCTCTCTAAGTCAAGTTAATTTATGCGTTATTTTATGCTGATCAAGACGATGTTCTGAAAGATGTAAATTTCCGATTACCATTATTCGCTAGTAATCTAAAGGTTCTGGGGGTGCCTGGGATTACCGCATTACGATATCAGTACCTACTTAAAATAAATTTGATGATAATTTCAACATATCTCTCAAATAAGCTTAAAAACAAACATAAAATCAGTCGAGGAAAAGTTTTATTATAATATTTAAGTAAAAACCCGTTTTAAAAATAGCCAAAGTATCGAAGAATAATCATATTTCTGTGAAACGTATTGAGCTGATACTTGATTAACTTGTCCGAATGACATTCGTTTGTTAAGCAGAGTTTAAGAGTTTTGAAACACTAGCACAACTTTGCTTAATTCAACCGAAAGTAAAACAAATAAAATATTGAATTTACCATTTAATAATGGTATATAATTTTCACATATTGTGAAATCACCATCATCGAATAAAAATCAATTTAATCTTTAAAAAATGTGAAATGAGCGCATTAATATTTACGAGCTTTTTGCAAACTAATCGAAACAATAAATGAAAATTAACAAATTTACTCCTTTCTTAGACAACGGCTTATAATAAACGATATGGTTCAAAGTCCCTCTTATTGTTGAACGGCTCTAAAACCTTTGAAACTTTGAAAAACTCCTATCACGTTACGTTAAACCTTTTTTTTTATTTATCTTTTAGAGAAATGAATATATTTATTTTCTTATGAAGTTATTTTTATTTCGATTCTTCGATTTAACAAACGATGATTTTGCAGGTTCATCCGTAGTGAAGATGGAAAAAGAGAATCAACCGGAACCTCAAAATGTCCAGATCAAAAAGGAGTTTAAACTTCGCTCGTCACTAAAAAGATCAGTTCGAAATATTTCTGAGCTCAAAGATGACTCGATGGAATCTCCAGATGAAACTGTCGGTGGATTGCGGCGACGGGTCAGTTTTGCTGCCAGCAGTACAGTGAAGCCTTTTGTAAACGATCCGGTGCAAAATACCATTTGGGATAATACTTATGAAGAAATAGTTGATCACACAGATTCCAATAATACGTTATCAACAGCATCTTCAGTGATAGGCACTGTGCAAAGCAGCAAGGAGATTAAAATCGTCGTGTCCTGTCAAGAAACTGATGAAACGTTGAAAAATCCGAACGACCAAGGCAAAAAAAGGAAATGCGTAATGTCGAAAACCATAACAGAGGTTGTTGACATGAATTATACTTGTCAGCAACATAAAGTTAATTTGCAAGTAACTGACACCAACAAAACAGTTATTGGATCAAATATAAATCGGACAATATATCCGGATATAGGCATGGATTTTACTTGTGTTTTCCCTGAGAAGCAAGATGCGAATTTCGAAACTAGGGCGAATATGAAGGAGAAATCTGTGAACACAGATATGGAATTTACTTGTCTCTTTCCTGCACAAGAAGAAGTCAATTCTACATCTAATATAAAAGAGCAGAGTAAATTCCTGAACGAAGACATGAGTTTAACTTGTGTTTTTCCTGGCAACAAGGAGCTGAATATTGATAATAGTGGAGACGGAATGACTACACATCCAAACGCAGATATGAGTTTAACTTGTGTTTTTCCTGGCAACAAGGAGCTGAATATTGATAATAGTGGAGACGGAATGACTACACATCCAAACGCAGACATGAGTTTAACTTGTGTTTTTCCTGGCAACAAGGAGCTGAATATTGATAATAGTGGAGACGGAATGACTACACATCCAAACGTAGACATGAGTTTAACTTGTGTTTTTCCTGGCAACAAGGAGCTGAATATTGATAATAGTGGAGACGGAATGACTACACATCCAAACGCAGACATGAGTTTAACTTGTGTTTTTCCTGCCAGCACATTGGTGAACACTGAAAACAATGCCAAGCAGACAACAAATATTAGCAAAAATATGAGTTTACCATGTGTTATTCGCAGCGGAGACGTAACTACTCAAAATCTAAGCTCTAACAGGAATTTAGTTTGTGTTTCTACTAACACAGAACATCATGTTTCAAAAGACGATAGTATAGAAAAGATGTGTAGCATAGTTACAAATGAGAAACTAATCGCAGACGAAAGTAATTTAAGTATATTGGAAGAAGGTTTCAGTTTGGGGTCCATTATTCTGCAGCAAGACGCTTCGAGGGGCTCTAAAACAACTTCAGCCCTGCTATATTTTTCTGATGGATTTGGTTCCACTCAAAAACCTTCCTTTTTCAGTAATACCAGTATATACAATACCCATCAATTGCTAGAAAGTAGATCATTTCACGTTAGTGATATATCTGTTGAAAAACCAATGAATAAATCTGCAGATCTAATATCAATTAATAAATGTTTGGAATCTTCCATTGGGTCAAATAAGGATGCTAATAGAATTTTGAATAACGTAGAAATGAAGATTTATCACCCATCGAGATTTACTGCAATCACAATGCAAAAATGTAAAGATACCCTTAACTACGCAAAAGATGTATGTGATAAATTTAGAGCATATCTTAGAGAATTCGTACCTACTAAGCACCATGTATCCAAATTAGAAAAGAATGTTAAAAGATTGTCTTTGCTACGTGCATCTTCCGCAAGCAGTGTTTCATTAAGTAATGAGAGTGATGAAGACCTTCAAGATGCAGAAATGGATAATGAATTAGTCGTTGTAAGCAAACATCAGCAAATCATGGAAGTATTTCAGAACACAGATGTTATATATCTGAAACTCATTTCGTTTCAAGATAATGGCTACACATTCTCCACCTATTTTTCCGCTGTAAAAATCGCGGTTACAATTCATCCAGATGATGGTCGAGTGGTAGAAGTAAAAGTGAAATCGCAACTCAACCCGAATCCGCGAAATTCTATATTCTTTATGCAAAATGCCTTTTTGGTAAAACACATTATGAACAAAATGCAGATGAGCAATCTGATGTTGTCCCTGGGAATCTGTTTTGATATGCTGTCCTTATTACATCAAGTTCAAATGATTATGGAGAAGTGCATTGACTTCGTCTACGATTTTGTCAAGGCCCAAAGGTAACATTATTATTTATTTTACTTGAGAAAGCTTGATTTAGATCCGATATAATCAAATCGATGTATTATATTTCTGAAAGGTTACTTCCACAATTAAAAAAAAAATAGTTAATCTTTATAACAAAGATTTCCGGCGCGGATGTATATTCAAGTATTTTGTAAATTTGTCGACGAAAACAGAGAAACTTTCTTAATGGGTTCTCAGATCAATTTGTCTATCGTATATATATCTTAAAGAAAGCTATATTTCTATCGAGACTTTTTGTGAGAAGTATTGTGTGTATCTATGTATAAAAATGTTACATATTTTTATGATTTCTTTTTAATTATAGCTAGGTAAAATATTGAGTCACTTTCTACGCAAATCTTATCAATTAAGGCTAGACTTTTTTCAGTTTTAGTTAGAAAAATACGTTCAATTTTTTACTTTATCACTTCACGCTCGCCTTTTAAATTATTAGTTTTAAGACTTTAGCTTGCTGAAGTTTGTCTCTCTGTTTCAAGAAATATTCATTCTTGAACTATGAATTGTCGAATTGTTACCTAACAAACTGCGATTTTCTAAATGCCTCCAGTCCAGTTTATCGTCTTTCGGGATTGAATAGACTAAAGGTGGTTAAGGCGATGCGTTTATTGCCGCAACAGATCAGTTCAAGAGATCAGCTCGCGAGGTACATTTGAGGAAAACTGTTGATAGAATGGACGATGTCTAACTTTTAACCCTTATTTTGGTAGAAGAAGAGGGAAAGAGGACCAATTCCTTAAAAAAATTCAAATACAATTTACGTATCATTTTTTCCCACTGATGCAGCTATTTTTCTCCATCCATTGTCTTTTACGGCAACATTTTATAATTTTTGGTTTCGTAATCATAAATCAATGGGTAATTCTGGACGTCCTCAATTAAAATGTCATCCCCATTTGCTAAAAACGAGCCAAGTTGTTCGGAAGGATGTCAGAATATTGGGCCAATAGTTTGAGCCCGATTTCCGAACCTTGCTTTACCCTGTGAGGCCGAAAATGTGAAAGTAAAAAATAATGATTTTTTTATGGGAAACTGTGTATTAACATAAGCAATGGTTGCAATGTAACTCAAATTCTAAAAAAAATATACACGATTTTGCTGCAGGACTCTGCAAAAGTCTCTCCGACGTCTCAAGAAAAATTTATTTAGAATCTGGCAAGAGCCCTTTTTACATAACAAATAGGAATGAGCAACAAGTTATGAATATTTTAAGCCAAAATTTATACCACTTATACCTGACTGAAACCCAGGAAAGATAGGAATATCATAACAAGTACACGCAGTCAGGAAAATAAATCAGAACCACCAAGTAAATTAATTATAGATAATTAAAAAAAAAACGGCAAAATCGGCGGTTTTTTTCGTATTTTGAGCAACCAAATGAACGAATTTTAGTTTAGTTCCTTGAATAAGGCCTGTATGAGTATAAAAGTGAAGAAGTAAAAAGTGCCATTGTCTTTCGCTCAAGCTCATAAATGCTTAGTGTTGCTTTTCCAAGTAAGTTCTCTAACGTCAAGTATGTTATATTTTAGGGAATTTAAAACATTAAAAATGGACAGCGATGGTGTGGTCCAGTTCAACATAATGCACACGAATCCACCAATATTTTGGTCTATGCAGTTCCAAATGTCGTCCCCAGAAACCATTCTACAAGATTCATTAAAAGTCTCGTCAAAATGGTCCCCAATTAATAAGACGCATTTTGAGTCAATTTTCTTAAACGTTCAGCCTGGAACTGATTGCATCAAACAAGTTGCAATTGATGTATTTGAATTTTTTAAGAGGACTGAATTGCGTAAATTGAAATGCAATAGTTAAAGTCTATATCCTAAGGTCTAAACAAATATCGAAGAGCTTCTGTAAAATTGCATGGTTGTATTATTTTGTTAGATTTGTATTGTTGATTTTATTAGATATGATATTATGAATATAAATTAAAATAAAATAGTTTGATGCATAGCTGTTAAAAGTCCAGATTTCCCAAGAGCCAAATAGTATGTGAAGTGTATTATCAAAGGAGTATTTTGATGAAAAATTACCAAATTATCTCATTATATCGGTTTACCAATTATATTTGCTTACATGAATAACACCCTGGTCTTGCAGATTTGATCAATTTAAATTCTCCGTGCGGAAACATTTTGGATATTGTTAAATTTTGAGGAACACAATTTGAAGACCTCCCTCAAATGTCCTCAAATATAACATGAAAGACGTTGGATATTGTATGTTTGTCATTAAAAATTTGCCGGGATTCTTGGTAAAGGCAAAAATTTACTTTTTACAAAACTTTGAGGTGTTACTTAATTTACCACATTAATACACATCGTCAATTAATAGTTTAGTTTATGGAAAAAGTAGTTTTCTGTCGGAAACAAGTGGTCTAGAAAAGAACGGATATACGTCCTAACGTGCTAGATATGTGTATTTTATTTCGCTTTAAAGCGGGGCCCTACGGCTTCAGTAAGTAATTTAATTAAAGTTACACGTATTGGATTATTGTTTAAATATAGTATTATGTAAAAGATAATTGTATATTCATAAGAAACCTAATGCTTGCTATTCTGTTTGGCAACTTGGCATCTCGTCCATTTAAGTGCCGCTGCCAGTTGTCAGTTGTCACCGATTAAATATTTGTGGTGTATCAGATCAGCTGTCTAAGTCCTATAGTGTTGGAGAACAAACTATGTTTTCCGTTCAACAAACTATGTAAATAGTATAAAACTACTTCAAATAGTTGAAACAAAGCATAAACGATGGATTGGGTAATATCTGACGAACTGTCTTTGACAGTGGGGCACGTCGTGGGTTGGATAAGTGCCGGGGCAATGGTGGTTGGAGGTATTATACCCTATATACCCCAATATAGGCAAATCAAACGGACCAAAGATGCGGATGGGTTTTCTTTGCTGGTGTGTTTGGCCCTCTTGATTGCAAACACACTGAGGATACTGTTTTGGTAAGTTGTATTTTGTGCCTGGGCCATATTTGCTACTATCCTGTTTTAAAGGTTTGGAAAACACTTTGAGTATCCACTACTGGCTCAAAGTCTTATCATGATCGCCACAATGTTTGCGATGATCCACCTTTGCGTAAGGATCAGAAATAAGGCCCAGTTACATCAGGCTAGGCAAAGAATCTTTACAGGTTAGTGTTACTGTAGGTTGGCCGTAATTTGCTTATTTAGGTAAACTCATTTGATAAATTGAGTTACCAGAATGTCGAAAAGCAGGCTCAATTTCTGGATATATGAAATGGTTTTTGGAAATATTAACATTGAAAGTAGAGAGAGAAGTGAGAGTTAGGGTCCTAGATATTCAGAAACAGTCTAGAATTTCCAGAGGATTTGTAGTCTTCATCGCTAATTTGCCATTTAAAGGGTAAATCAATTGATCGTATTATATACTAAAAATAAACCACCAGGCAAATTTCAGAGTTCGTATCAGCGTGACATCTGAAACTGAATAAGCGTACATAAGTTACACTTTGAACTTTAACATGAACTGGCCTATCTGACAAAGGTCAGAATAGATATCATTTAGGCACTTCAGCAAAGTTTATTGAAAGTTTAGCTCAGAAGCTAAATACAAATAATAACTTACTTTGCGGCTTAACAACTACAAATTGTGTTTTTGACAATAGTTTTGCATCAAGTTCATCAATATTTCATTCAAACGGTTTATCATGAACCATCAGTTACCATAAACCAATATATTTAACGGAATGTTAATTTCTTATTTTAAAAATTTTATCAAAATACTTCAGATTAAACACCCTTTAATTGTTGCATATATTTATCATAGCCTATTATATTTATTCTTTTACTTGATGCTGATGAGTAATTTTATTAGCAAAAAAATTATCAAAGTTGGGCGTATCAAAAAAATTCCAGAGATCGACGTGTAAGATCCTTCTTTTCTTTTATTTTAACATTTAAATTTAGTCGTGTTTTTATTAATTTTCATGTTTATTTGCAAGGAGATCGATGCCATTTACTAAATAATTTATTAGGGAATGGCTATTAAAGAGCATCAGTTGAATGCTAAAATGCTGTTTGAGAAACTGGACAATATCAACATTTCCAGCTTACTCTATTGCAATTGATGAAAGTACAGTTGGAAACAGCAATTAATTGAGATTTTTTACTGTTCTTCTATCTATTGATATTTGAATTTTTGATGACTCACAAATGGAATTAAGTAATTGAAATCCGATCTGATGATTTGCCGCAACAAAAATGTATGGTTGTTGCAATCCCATACTTTTTTCACGGCCTCAATTGTACGTCCTTTTCTAATACATTATTTTTTACGCGCTTACTGGCTGTTTACAAGTCGTTATTTATGCTAGCGACTATTTTGTTTAATAAATAATAATATCAATTTAGAAAAGTGAAAATTGGCATTTATCTTTAGAGGTATCATCAGCTTATTAATTCATCAGCTTCTAATAAAAAGTAATTTTATACTGTAGTATTTGTTTATTTCTTTGTTTCTTATAACTTTTATTGTAGTACACAATATTACAGCTTGTGCATAAAAAAGGAACTTACCATTTTTAATCTGATTTAAATGTTTATTACAATTTTTTTTATTTAATATTACAGTATACATAAGATAATCTTTTAAACAATCGTGTTTTATTAATTTATTGAACATCTAATCTATACCGGTCCTTAACTTAATATAAAATTAACTATGCCGGTTACATATAAAACTTTAATTTTCTCTCCGCAATCAAGCGTCATCGTCGTCGTAAAGATCGACGAAAGTCAAAACGTGCTAGATAGAATGGAATTATGTAAAATTTCATGAATTTGGATGCAAAAGTATTCACACAGTTTAAATAAATTTAACGTTTTTTCAGTAACTTTTGATGTCTGTGTTTTGGACGAAGTCCTATTACGATTTTGTCGTAAAATAAAAGGCCTGTTGACAAAAACACGCTTTTAAAATGTTTGGAATAAATGTTGAATTATTTGGCATACTAGTTTTTTAGTATACAAATATTTAATAATGTGATTCCAAGTGTGTGATCTAAAATTGAAATCACTGAAACATCTTAAACGATCTCAAAAAAATTAACTAATGTTAAAATTAAAAATGCAGTTTTGTTTTTCCATCTAACAAAACTCTTTCACACCGTTCTCTTTGGGCAGTTAATAAAATTGATTAATGTTTGGCTAGCAGTGCTTCTTATTTTAATTCTGTTAAGCGGCAAACTTCTGCTATCGGTCTAATACTTGCAGAATTACATTGATTACTTTTTTTTCAAATCACCCAAAAACGTTCGCAAATGAAAGATGTTCATTGAAACATGTTCATTGAACGGCGTAGGCTCAAGAGCTTAAAATAGTATTCTAAATTTCAGCTAAATATATTAAGAACTGCAATCATGGTAAAATTATAGAAATTTTTCTAATTTCAGCGCCCTGTACCTCGAAAAATATTTATAAAGCTGAAATGTTTGGTTTATGTCCCTTGCTATTTGTAAAAATGTGTCGGTATAGTTAAGAAACACCCTCTAGTTTATAAAACATGCCATGTAGAATCGCGCTTTAAAATAGTCGCGTATAATTAAGAATCTCTTCGAATAAGCTGGATTATTATCCAGGTTGATCTATTGATCAACTTTTACTAGGCAGAGAAACTATTCCACTTTGCTAGAATTTGGTAGTAAAAAAAAAGGAAAAGTAGAAAATTTGGTAAGTTTAAACGTTTCTCCATTGTAAACATGTAACTGAATTCCCCCCAAAAAAACCTTGATGTTTGTATTCTGTATTGGAAAATATACTTAAAATATACCTATATTACTTACATTTCCCGCAGGAGATACAAAGAAGTAATTATTGTTCAAATGATTTTATTTTCAAAACGCAATTAGCTTCACATAGTAAATAAATAGGAATAAACCGGAGCTTTTCTCAATTCGTATTGTATTTAACATAGGGAATAGCTGAATTGTTTCGGACATTTTCCTTTTTGTTTTATACAATTTTATTATTTGTACTAAACACATTTGATTATTTCCTTGCAATTTAGGGAAATGTATTGTTTTTCAGCAGGAAAATTGTGTGTTTAAAACTAAGATAATTTTGTCAATTGTTTGTAATATACTGGTTGTACACAGGGTGGATGTTTTAGAGGTATAAATGCCAATATTTTGGAAAGTAAGGTAACGAAGAAAAAATTACAAACACATATGACGGGGACGATAATTGAGAATGTAGATTAATTCAATACTACTTACCGAAGCTCTCTAAGCGCCCCAATTATTATTTTTTAATAGAACGGGTATGGTTGCGACATAAAATCGGAAAATATTTTCAATGGGATGTAGGTTTCATTAATTCCGACCGCAAAAGTATGTTTATTAGACCCTAAAAGTATTAAATTCCTTGTAAGTGTAATAAGTTTGTTTTTCTGTGTCTGAATGTTTTTCTGTCCAGCAAATCTACGAAGTCTGTTAATTATTATTTGAGTCTCACTACGTAGTTGATTTGGCGAATGTTCAATCAAAACATCATTTATTCAATTGCGGAAAGGGCTGAAATTGATATTTATGGTGCTGAGGAACGTAATTTTTTGCAAACCGCATAAAATTTGCCCAGCTACCCCCTGGAACAAACATTAATTCTTCCTACTTCAGAAAGGCAAATAAAAAAATGAATTTTCCTAAAATCCATCTATTCGTCGAGCATCTGTTTTAACTGGATAGTGAACATCCATCCGATTTTTTTTTAAATTACAAAGAATGGATTCATATAAAATACGTATAAGCCTCAACTTTATCAAGAACTAAATTGATTTTTGGTTGACCAATCAGCCCATACGACTATTCAACAGTTGCTTTAGTGATGGGTGCATATTTTATTTGAATGGCACTCTCAATCGGCATCATTGCAGAATCTGGAGTGATTCAAACACTCATGTTATGAGAGAAGGAAATCCTCAGTATCCACAAAAATTTAATCTTTGGGCAGACATTTTTGGAGATTCCAGCATAGAATCTTGGTTCAAGAAAATTGCCGATTTCTTTTAGAAAATGATATTGAACTATTGATAATTCATCAGCAGGACGATAGTGTTGAATTACAACTGAACGAAAATTGCCTATGGAAAATGAATTGGAAGACGAGACAGCGAATTATCATTGAGTCTCGTGCAATTCCAAGATACAATGTGAATATAGCCTGAATCCCTGCTTGAAAGATAAAATGTTATGCATGGATTTGTTGCAGTAAAATATTGAACTAATCCTTACTAATAGATTTTGCATTATTATCGCATACTTTTGGGATCGGGACGTGAGTTAATCATACTCTCAGTAATATTCCCTCATTTAAATATTACAGTAGTGGAGTTTTCATATTTTTTCAACATATTGGCATTTATGCTTTAACAAACCCACCATATATGTTATACTCACTACACATTTTAATACAGTACCACCAAGCAAATCTGCTTTTTTTCGTTGTTCTGTCTACATCTTTCTAGACGTTTTAAATGTATTTTTTTCTTTTCATTTAGCAACAAATGCCCAAGCAATTATACAGTTAAAGCTTCTTGCTGCCAAACCCCGCCCTCCTCAGCGTATAATTGGTAATAGGCTTGCACGAGCTCGCTTTACTTTATATGGATCATGTTTTGTCCAAAAGCATTAGCTGTGGGGATTCATCAATATTGTTTCAGTTTTATATCCGCAACTCGGGGAACATTATTAGCATGCCACCAATTGATAGTTTCACATTAAGGCGCCGAATTCTAACGTACACGTCTTCAGTTGCATTTGTACTAATATTCAAGAAAAATAGTCTAGAACCGTTTTCCTTTACTACTAGCCATAATGTTGACTCTAAAAATCAGCAATTTCTTATTCAGTTTTTCGGTATTTATCTAAAAAGTTAAAACCAAGTATTTTATACGGCTAAGAAGTTTTGCAGAT